TCTCTCTCTCTCTCTCTCTCTCTCTCTCTCTCTCTCTCTCTCTCTCTCTCTCTCTTTCTCTCTCTCTGAAACTAGGTTTCTCTGACCAGGCTGACCTCAAACTCCCAGAGATCTGTTTGCCTCTGCCTCCCACGAGTGCCGGGATTAAACATGTGACATACCACCAGCTCTTCCTTCCTTCCTCCCCCCCACCCCACCTCTAAGTGTCTCAAGTAGCCCAGGCTAGCCTGGAGCTCACTACGTATCATTCTGTGTCCACTTCCTGGGTCCCGAGATTACAGGCCGGCACGGCGCCTGGTTTGTGCAATGCTAGGATGGACCCAGAGCCTCCGGTGTGCTAGGAAAATGCTCTACCAACTAAGCCCCACCCCACCCAGCAGCCTCGCGCTAGGAAGTTCTGTATGCAGTTCTGAAAGTTTCACCGACTCCACCAGTAACATGAGTCTAGCGAGAGAGTGAAATGGGTTTTGTACATCAAAGGTTACCGGGGCCACAGTCTTGGGTGCGAGTGACTAACACGTCACCTAAGGAGTGCTAGGGTCCTGTGCCAGTCTGAACCACTCGGGAGCTTCCGGGTCCTCCCTCCCTCCTGCCTTCACCTTCCTGCTTTCCCCAGCTCCTGTCTCGGTTCCTCCCCCACCTCCAGTCTCCTCACTGCTTCCTTCTGGCTCTTGCCTGCGTAGGGCCCTTGGCTCCGGTTGTGCTCTCTGCCTGGCCTTTCTCATGAAGTATCAGGTCAGTGGGCACGCCCTCCTGAAGCAGCATCCTACCTGTGGGAGTGGTCTCTGGTCAGCACACTCCGCCCCTCCCCTCAGCCCTCCACTGACTTAGCTCAGTGGATGAGTGATTGGGGGAGAGGGCTGGGAAGATGGTTCAGTGGGTAAAGCGTAGAGAGACCCGAGTTCAAATCTCCAGAATTCATGTGACATTGGCTATAGTAGTGAGCACCTGTAATTGCACACTCCTGCTGGGAGGTGAGAGCTGGAGACTCCCCGGCAACCCTGGGCCAGCTAGCCCGGCCTACACAGCTCTGAAGAACAGACCTTATCTCAAAGGAAGAGGGAGGCAAGGACTGACCCCTCCACATGGGTACTACACATACACACACCTCTGATTTCCACATGAACTGGAGAGATGGTTCAGCAATTATGAACACATAGACTGAAAGAAAGAAAAAAAGAAAAGAAAAGAAAAGAAAAGAAAAGAAAAACTGGGCAGAGGTGGTTCACACCTTTAAAACCCAGCACTGGGGAGGCAGAGACTGGCGGGTCTCTGAGTTCAAGGTCAACCTGAAAAGAGTGAGTTCCAGGACAGTCAGCGATACATAAAGGAACTCTGTTCCAAAAAAACAAAACAAACAAAAACCCCAAAACCACAGACTGCTCTTGCAGAGGACTCCATCTGGTCCCCAGCACCCAGCTTGGGTGGCTCACAACCATCTGTAACTTCAGCTGCAGGGGATCCAACCCCTCTAGCCTCTTCCAGCAGCTGCACACACGCGGCATACACAAACATATGTAGTCACAAACACATACATATACTTTTTATGTTTTGTTGAAACAGGGCTTCTCTCTGTAGCCTTGGCTGTTCACTGCAGGAGCTCTGTAGACCAGGCTGGCTGTGAACTCACAGAGCTCCTCTTGCTCTGCTTCCTGAGTGCTGGGATTAAAGGTGTGCACCACCAACCTGGACATCGCATACATTTTAATAAAAAGCTTTATTTTATTAATTTTCAAACTATTAAATAACAATACTTAATTTTAATTATTAAATTATTGTTTAATAAAAAATACTAAAGAGGGCTGGAGAGATGGCTCAGAGGTTGGGAGCATTGCCTGCTCTTCCAGAGGTCCTGAGTCTGGTTCCCAGCAACCACATGGTGGCTCACAACCATCTGTAATGAGATCTGGTGCTCTCTTCTAGCCTGCAGGCGTACATACAGACAGAATATTGTGTACATGATAAATAAATAAATAAATAGAATAAATTAAAAAAATACTAAAAAATAAAAGCCAGGTGGTGGCGGCACACTCCTTTAATCCCAGCAGTTAGGAGGCAGAGGCAGGCAGATCACTGTGAGTTCGAGGCCAGCCTGGTTTACAAGAGCTAGTTCCAGGACAGGCTCCAAACTACAGAGAAACCCTGTCTCTAAAAACAAAACAAAACAGTGGTAGCCCACATCTTTAATTTAATTCCTGTAATCTGGAGACAGAGGTAGGTAGATCTCTGAGTTCAAGGCCATCCAGTCCACGTGTGGTGTGGAGTTCTAGGACAGTCAGGGTTAGTGCTGTCCTAGATCCGGTCAGTAACAACGCCTGGCGCTGTTAGCTCCACAGATAAAGGCACTTGTCATTAAGCCCAGCAACCTGAGTTTGTTCCTGAGGACCCATATGATAGAAAGAGAGAATCCGCACCCGCAAGCTGTCATCGACCCTCCCACATACGTGTGATAATCTCTTCCATATATGCACACTGAATAAAGAATTTAAACAGAGACTTGGGCAGAGAAAGAAAATGGAACAGGGATGGTTCAGGGGTTAAAAGCACTGGCTGCTTTTCCAGAGGACCTGGGTTCAATTCCTAGCATCTGCGTGGCAATTCGAATCTGTACCACCAATTTCTGGCCTCCATGGATACCTGGTATAGGTGGTGTGCAGAGACACATGCAGGCAAAATATTCATACACATAAGATAAAAACCTTCACAGGGCGGTAGTGGCACACGCCTTTTTTTTAAAATTATTTATTTGTTTATTATGTATACAATATTCTGTCTGTGTGTATGCCTGAAGGCCAGAAGAGGGCACCAGACCTCTTTATAGATGGTTGTGAGCCACCATGTGGTTGCCGGGAATTGAACTCAGGACCTTTGGAAGAGCAGGCAATGCTCTTAACTACTAAGCCATCTCTCCAGCCCTGGCACACGCCTTTAATCCCAACACTCGGGAGGCAGAGGCAGGTGGATCTCTGTGAGTTCGAGGCCAGCCTGGTCTACAAGAGCTAGTTCCAGGACAGGCACCAGAGAAAGCCTGTCTCAAACAAAACAAAACAAAACAAACAAACAAACAAAAAGAAGAAGATAAATCTTTGGGTGACTTTATCTCTCAGGGCCTCAGTTTTCCAGGGCTATTAAATAGTCACAAAGGGCTTCCTGCCTAAAGTGTCTGCAGACTGGCAGAGGCCTAAAGTTGGATTTTGTTGCCTTGAGTCAGGATGTTGAGCCACCCACGCACACTGCCCGAACCAGTTAGTTCTCACGTACAGGTGGGCATTGCAGAAGTAGCCAGAAAATGGCCAGGGAGCAGTGACTGGAGTGAGCCCTTCTCCCTCGGAGCCTCCCGATGCCCCTGCAAGTACTGGGGGGCTGGACACCTTCAGGGCTCTCTCAGTCCCCCCCCCTTCCTCTCCCTGGGGCTCCAGGACAATAGACAAGATGTTTATCCCCCCCGCCACGCACATGTTGTTCGCGGGTAATGACAGTAATCAGCCTCCCTAATGCGGCATTCTCTCAGCGCCAGTCAATTCGCCTAATTACCGCCTGGGAAGCCGGATTATTTAAATTTAAATGGTGATTTATTGCGGGGCTTAATCAATGCTATTTTCTCTCCCCCCCCCCCACCTTCTCCCTGGGCACTAGGGTAGGAAGGGAATAGGAGCCCTCCCCAACCCCACCCTAAGGACACCCAATTCTTCAGATGGGAGGAGGGGCTTTTTCACCTGTGACCTCAGATAACACCTTCATTGCCCCGTAGTAACAATTAAGCAGGGATATCGAAAATAAAATGATGAACATCTAATACTTCTGTGGATCAATAACCACAGGTGGGAAGTAAGAAAAACGAGGTGTTCATCTATATGCTGACATCTAGCATAGTCTACATTTTCACGCGTCATAGATCAGAATTTTCCTCCTCTTGCGTCTCACCTGCATCTATGAGGCAGGGACTTTTCATTTCATTTCCCCCCTTCCTACTAATTAGCCTATCTTCCTTGAGATAGGAGCTTACGTAGCCCAGGCTGACCTTAGGCCTGACTCACTATGAAGAGCCGCAGGACCTCCATCCACAGAGATCTGTCCGCCTTTGCCTCTAGAGTGCGGGGATGAACGTGCCACCAGGCCTCGCCTTACTTGTGTTACAGCCTAGGCTGGCCTCATACTACTCCTGGTGATCCTCCTGTTGCAGCCTCAGGAGCACTGGAAGGATACGCCATCAATGCCACACCCTGCCAGAGCAGGGGCTTTGGTAGCATGCGGTTCCCATTAGATCCTGGGCACTCACAAAGGTATCACACATGAGGTTGACTCAGTCAGTCAGCAACACAGACCACATCCCTAAGGCTGGCTTGGCTTTGCTGGGATCCAGGGGCCTTGAAGATAATCATTGGTTTCCAGTCAGTCTGAAGGGACCAATTCTGACGGGCACTCCCACAGAAAGAGGGAGCCACCTACCTAGGACTGCAGAGCTATGGGGACGAGGGCTGGATACCACTAAGGAGAACCTTCCCAATCATCCACCCTCATCCTCCCTAGGCATACTGTTGGAATTTAGCCCCCAGAGTTCCAGCATAGTCGCTTGGAGCTCTGCAGGCCCAGGTCGGGAGGCTCTGGGGACAGGAGGCTCTACAGCGCCTGTCAGAAGTGACATTATTGTCCTTTCTTTTGTGACAATATTAGTTCATCTCCCCTAATAAAATAAATAGCCTTTGCTGTGTGACAGACACCTGTATTTCCAGGCTGATGGCAGACACCTGTATTCTCAGCATTGAAGAGATGGAGGCAGGAGGATCCTAAATACATATCAAATTTGAGGCCAGGTCAACCTACAGGAGACATTGAGTCATGGCGAATACTTTTAATCCCAGCGCTTGGCAGGCAGAAGCAGGTAGATCTCTGTGATGTGAAAGCCAGCCTGGTCTATATAGCAAGTCCCAGGCTAGCCTGAGCTACATAGTAAGACCCTATCTCATATAAACAACAACAACAACAACAACAATAACCTAGTGATCTGAATTGTTGCCAGGTTCTGACTTAGGTCAAAGGTTTATAAAAATCACAACTTTTTGTCCCCTAGATAGCCTAAGTCACCAGTTAGGAACCCACAAGGGGTCTGGAGGACTCCCTAGGAGCTGAGCCAGGGAGGGTCTGGCTTTCTTAATCCTGTCCCTAAGGCTGAGGTGGGTTGGCTTGGATTTGGCAGCAAGAGCATGCGCACTCACCGAGGCCAGCCGGAGGCCCGACGGCTCGCAACCCCCAGGGCGGCGCCCCTAGCGCGGCGAAGCGACGCAGGCGGAGGTAAGTGACACTGAGACGCACTATGGACGCCTTGTCCAGTTGGCTGGAGATGGCACCGGGCAGAGGAAGCAGCTTGGCCAGCTCGAAGAACTCTAGATTCTCCTTCCCGCGCCGCCAGCGCGCTGCGTTGCGGGACTTTTCTTTGCGCTGCGCCTGCAGGCTGGGCGGGCAGCGTTGAGGAGGCGTCAGTGAGCGCCCCGGGCTCACGGTCCCCACACTTTAGGAAGTGGGACAGACCTGAGTGCCAGTTCTATACCCCTGCTGGTTTTTGGGAAAGGGCCCTTATTTATTTAATAATTACAATTGTTATTATTATTATTTGTATTATTGTGGTAGGGGTTGAACTCAGGGTTTTCAGCACTCTACCACTGAGCTCTCCGGCCTGTTTTTTTCTTTCTTTCTTTTTTCTTTTTTGTTGAGACTGAGGTCTCACTACGTACACCAGGATGGCCTTGAATTTACAGAGATTTGCTTGCCTCTGCCTCCGGAGTACCGAGACTAAAGACATGCACAACCACACCCGGTTCTTGTTTTTGCTTTTTGAGGTACGTCTTTCTATTTTGCCCTGGCTGGCCTTGAACTTGAGTCTCCCGCTTCACCTTACAGAGTGTTTGGGATGTCAGGCCGAAGGGCTCAGCCGGGGACAAAGTCTTTTCAATTGCCTGAGAATGTCGGGGGTAAATTCGGAGGTGGGGGACTAAAAACCGAACTCCGGTGTAGGTGAGGGTGACAGAGTCTAGGCGCAGCAGGGGCAGGGCACTGACCTGGGTATGAATGCTCATCTGGAAAGCTGTGAAGTCCCCCCAACCCCCGCACGCCTTCGGGGGCGAGGCCATGGTCAGGGCCATTAGATTTGCTCACCAGGGCCCTGGTGGGGCCTTGACCATTAGCCCGGGCAGGAAATCCCAGGGGACGCTGGCTCCACGGTCTCCCCCGCACTTGACTTCACCTCGGCCGCTGCTCCTGGGATAGGGGGTCGCCATCACGGCGGGGACTCGAGAATTCAGGCGCGAAGGAGTCGCAGGTGGGGCTCAGTCCCCTGGGAGAAGAATGTCTAGGGAAAGTGAGGTGCGTGCCGGTCCCCAAGGGTCCAGCCAAGAACTGGCTTGGATGCGTGCCTCAGTTTCCCCTTCCCGAGAAGCCGCGGTTCCCACCCTGGCGCTCCGGGTGAGGACGTGCCCCGCCGCCGCCTCCCCCGCGCGGCCCGCCAGCGCGCCCGCCTCACGCCCGCGCCGGGCCGGCTCCCGCATACCAATGGGCGCACGCGGCGCGCATACGGATCGGACCGGCCCGCGCGCTGCGTGCCAAGCATGCCCAAGCTGCGCTCGGGGCGGGCGCCTCGCCAGGGCCCCGACGCTCCGGACTCCATCCCCCCCAAAACTCCCAACCCCTCGGGGATCTGTCCCCCAAAGCCACCCCCAGTGTCCTACTCCCCAGGTCTGCAGCTGCACCCATTTCCTAGCCTGGGCTAAGGAGGTAGGGAGGACAGAGGGACCCCACCCCAAATCCTGCTTAGGAAGCATTCAAGACCCTGGGGTGGCGCCACCTGACCCGGTTGCTAAATATCTTCAACCCACAACTTCCTCCCAAAGACCAGGGCGTGAGACCCTGGCCCATGACACCGCTGGCCACTGTGACTCCAGTATGAACGCGACACTCGGGTCCAGGTGTTCTGGAATCCAGATCCCCTAGAACCAGGGACGTGTCCAACTGGCTCTTTCCTCTTCACGATTAGGTGTCCAGGCCGCTCATGTCCCCAGCAACCAGGTGGCCCCCAAACCTCCCCAAAACGCGCTGACGTCTAGTGCCCTGAACCTGTGTGACTGTGACCAGGACCCCCAACAACCACGCACCTTTTTCTGGATCTCGCCGGTACAAGCGTCCTGATGCCGTGGCCTCCAGGTCACCAGAGTCTAGGACCCCGCATCCCAGAAGGACCCAGGGGTCCCCGTTCCCTCCTGCCAAGCCTTCAGGCGTCCCGCACCCGCAGGGCTCCAGACCGGGTTACCTGGTCGCGGGGTGAGCTCAGGGCGCGGCGTGGGGCCGGCCGGGTGACGTGGAGGGGCAGCTCCATAGACCCTGGGGCGCGCGGGCTAGGGCACCCGGCTCTCGGCGCCCACGGCGGCCTCGCAGACTTGGAGACCACGGACAGCGGCGGCGAGGGGCGGTGCCTGTGTTCGCCCCACCCACAGAAGCCCCGCCCAACGCCGGCCCGCGCGCCTCTGCCTGATGGATAGTTCCCATTCCCGTGCCCGTCTGGCCCCGCGTGTCTGAGTGGTCTCACCTCACGACCATATCAGTCAGGTCGAGTCTCAAGCTCCTCCACCCTGGAGTCTCACCACGATCGTCATCCGCAAAGGATGGAGCCCCTCAGCAGTCCCTGGGGACCCTGGGGGCAACCAGCACCGTAGTTCAGTCGGAGTGGACATTCAGAGGTCAGTGTCTCTGCTAGAGACGTGAATCCAGGCCTTTAACGATCTCCCTTCCCAGGAGAAAATTCCAGGATGCCAGTCTTTATTCAGAGTAGGACCTGGCGGGTACCGGCCCTGTCCCCAACCCAGGTCTTAGTTGTTAAGGGAACTCAACAGTCCAGAGCCCCCTGAGATCTTACCTCTATGGCTCCCTATTGGAACTAGAACCCCAACCTGTGGGCGCCCAACTTCATAGCTGAGAACAGCGCCAGGGTGTGGTGATACTCATTTGTCAACCTCAGCATTTGGGACAGTGAGGCAGGAGGATTAAGTTGGAAGCAAGCCTGGACTATGGAATGAGTTCCAGTCTCGTCCAGTCTGGGATTCGGAGTGAGACCCTGACCCAACATTAATAAAAACAAAGGAGTAGCTAGGCTGGGAGAATGGCTTAGTGGGTAAAGCTTGCCAGGGAAGCGTGAGGACCTGAGTTCAAATCCCCAGAATTCACATAAAGTCACGCTCGGTGGTCTACTTCTATAATCCCAGGACTCCTGAAGGGCGTAGCAGGAGATCCCTAGGAGCTGGGGGTGGGGGCTCAGCTAGTCTGGTTCCACAGCAAGGCACTGTTTCTTTCTTTTTTTAAAATTTATTTTTATTTTAGGTGCATTGATGTTTTGCCTTCATGTGAGAGTGTCAAGTCCCCTGGAACTTGACTAACAGACAGTTGTGAGCTGTCATGTGGGTGCTGGGAATTGAACCCGGGTCCTCTGGAGGAACAGTCAGTGCTCTTAACAGCTGAACCATCTCTCCAGCTCCAAGGCACTGTTTCAAACAAGGTAGAAAGGGAAGGAATGCCATATGAGAGTGCCCTCTGACCCCCACATGTACTGGAACTGTGGCATGAATGTGAGTACACACACATACACTGATGGCTCATTTTATTTGTTTGTTTGTTTATTATGTATACAATATTCCAGTCTGTGTGTATGCCTGCAGGCCAGAAGAGGGCACCAGACCCCATTACAGATGGTTGTGAGCCACCATGTGGTTGCTGGGAATTGAACTCAGGACCTCTGGAAGAGCAGGCAATGCTCTTAACCTCTGAGTCATCTCTCCAGCCACTCATTTTTTATTTTTGAGACAGGGTTTCTCTGTGTAGCTTTGGAGCCTGGACTGGCCTGGAACTCACTCTGTAGCCCAAGGTGGCCTGGAACTCACAGAGACCTGCCTGCCTCTGCCTGCTAAGTGCTGGGACTAAAGGCATGTACCACCATACCCGGCTTTGTACGCAGATTTCTAAAGAGGGTGGGACTGGCAAGATGGCTCTGCAGGTAAAGTACTTGCCACCAGGCCAGATGATGTGTTTATTCCCCTGGACTAGCATGGTGGAAGAGAAGGACCAACTCCCCAAGTTGTCCTAATGTTGGACCTCATGTTGGCAGCTCACCTTGGTAGTGTAAGCGTTACTCAGGTGGTGCTGGTTTTGAAGGCCTGAAGGGGTCATGGAGAACACTGAGGCCTGGCACTCTGAGAGGCCAGGGGAGGCCATTGGTGCAGGTGCAGCCTCAGCGGCAGTAGAAGGCCCAGGACGGAAGGGGTCATGCAGAGAAGTTGAAGTTTGAGGATATGAAGAGAGCCTAGGAGAGGCTATTCGTAAAAATGCAGCTAGGTTGTCATAGATCACCCCAATATTCTGAAGATGCCAGCACCATGGGGTGACCACCAAGAAGAGCAGCAGCAGTGGAGTGGGGCCAGCTGGAGCCTAGGAGACAGCTGTGCCTGCTGCAGAGTGTGGAGCCAGAAAAGTGACCAAGCCCCGTGGGAGGGTCCCAGAAGATTGTGAATGGATCCTGGGCATTGGCCATTGAGTTATCAATAATACACAGTGCAATAATGAACAATGTTTTGTAGAAGCAATAGAAAACACCAAGACAGGGAGGAAAGGGTTTATTTCAGTTTATGGTTGTAATGCAGCATGAAGGGAAGTTAGGGCAGGGACTGAAGCAGAGGCTGTGGAGGAACAGTGTGGCTTGCCAAGCCTGTCTTCTTATAAAGCCGAGGAACATCCGTCTGGTGGTGACACCACCCATGGTGGGATGGGTATCCCCACATCAGTCATTAGCCGACAGGCCAGTCTAAGGGAGGTGCTTTGGAGACAGGGTTCCTTTGTTTGTTTCTTATTTAATTATTGTATTAATTATGTCTGCTGCAGGCCAGAAGAGGGCATGCGACCCCATCACAGATGGCTGTGAGCCACCATGTGGTTGCTGGGAATTGACTTCTGGAAGAGCAGCCAGTGCTCTTAACCTCTGAGCCATCTCTCCAGTCATGAGATAGAGTTTCTCTGTGTAACAGTCCTGGCTGTCCTGGAACTCTCTCTGTAGACCAGATTGGCCTCAAATTCACAGAGATCCACCTGCCTCTGCCTCCCGAGTGTTGGGATTAAAGGCGTACACCACCGTCCAGCATCTTCTGGATAACCCTAGCTTGTGTTAAGTTGATAAAAAAAAAAAAAAACTACCCAGGACACCCAGACTGGCCTCAAATTTTCTATGTAGCTGAGGTCATCACCTTGAACTTCTGCTCCTCTTGTCACCTTCCACTGGTGTTGGTCTTTCAGTGCTGGGGGAATTGAACCCAGGGCTTGTGCATGTTAGGCAAGCGCTCTACCAACTGAGCTTTGCTACCATTTCCTAGGCAGCTTATGATCAGACACAAACACACAGATCTCACTAATAGTTTGCCTGTGGGTGTTCACCCAGGACTCTGTCAGAGCAAGAAACAAAAGGGCTGGGACTCAAGCCATCATCAGGCTTGCCCACTGTGTGTGCACTTTCAACTGACCGTGCCATCTCACCGGGCCACCTGTGGAATTTTCCTCAGGCTGCTTCTATAGATCATAGGAAACACAGGGGAGGGACACTCGTCCCCTGGAGCATGTGACTCTGGGAGGCCTTGCCCTTTGCCCCCATTCCAAAAAAACAAAGAGGGAAAATTGAGTGGGATAATAGGTAGATTAGTGTGTACTCACTTACACTACTACTAATAAAAGTGAGTAATAGAGTAAATACTTGTGAGCTATTACTTATGAGCAATTTATTGGTATAGATTCTTGTATATTGATACAAATTCAAATTATATTTGTCATATTGAATATGCTCCTATTTTATTTATTTATTTATTTATTTATTTATTATGTATATAATATTCTGTTTGTGTGTATGCCTGCAGGCCAGAAGAGGGCACCAGACCCCATTAAAGATGGTTGTGAGCCACCATGTGGTTGCTGGGAATTGAACTCAGGACCTTTGGAAGAGCAGGCAATGCTCTTAACCACTGAGCCATCTCTCCAGCCCCTATGCTCCTATTTCTTTTTTTTTTTTTTTTTTTTTAAATATTTATTTATTTATTATGTATACAATATTCTGTCTGCATGTATTCCTGCAGGCCAGAAGAGGGCACCAGACCTCATTACAGATGGTTGTGAGCCACCATGTGGTTGCTGGGAATTGAACTCAGGACCTTTGGAAGAGCACACAATACTCTTAACCTCTGAGCCATCTCTCCAGCCC